CGTTTTTGCTTCAAAATCACAAAAAGATTGAGGCCTCTCAGCACTTTGGGACTCTGGGAGCTCCAAAACACTGAGAGGCCTCAATCTTGAGCATTTTCGGGACGCCGCTCCATTACGCTACCCCCCGCCCCGACCCACCCGTGCGTCTCAAAAGGGTAGGTCAATGGGGGGGGGTTACCATATATATGTATGTATGTGTGTATGTACGTGTGTATGTACGTACGTACGTACGTACACGTATGTATGTATGTATGTATGTATGTATGTATGTATGTATGTATGTATGTATGTATGTACGGGTATGTATGTAGGTGTAATATGCATGTATGTATATGTATGTATGTCTGTATGTACGTATGTATGTAGGTATGTATGTAATATAATGTAATGTAATGCAATACAATGCAATGCAATGCAATGCACTGCACTGCAATGCAATGCAATGCAATGCAATGCAATGTAATGTAATGTAATGTAATGTAATGTAATGTAATGTAATGTAAGGGATGGATGGATGTATGTAGGTATTCTCTATATGTATACATTGTATACATACGTAAGTTTTTGTATTAACATGAAAATTTTCATTTATACTTATGTGTGATGTCTACTCTTTCAAACGGTGAAAGATGTGTTGGCCCAGGTGTACGTGCTACTTCTGATGCACGGTAGGAGAGAGACACGCGAACACAGACCACATGTGCAGCGAGTCGTTGGAGTCCTGGCTCCAAAATCCTGAAGCCAACCGCGAAAGTCGTACGGCATGGAAGGACATCCTCGTGCTGGAGCGCTCGGGTGGTACAGACCTCAGGCAGTTCTGATGGCCGCGTCCGAAAGATTTGGGCGGTCGTTTTCGGCTCTTGACAGCCTCTTCAGGTCTTGGGAAGACCAGGTCATTTCGCCGTCTAGAATTTTTCCACCCGCAAGATAGTTCTGGCTAGCGTGAGTGCAGGTTTGACATATCAGGCTTGGACAGGTGTACTCAGTATACTCCTCACCTTTGCGATCGGAAAATCGGCAATTGCTGGGACATTGGCCAGCGTCGTGCACCGTTGCACGGAGGGATGGATCACGATCCAAACCCTGTCACAGCACGGTTATCCCGGTCATCGCTTCCGTGCGCGCAAATTTGACGAACTCGCAAAGTCGGGGTTACGTGTCCAAACGATTGTCCGCCTGTGGGTGCAGCAGCCAGTCTAGAGCGTGCTAGGGAAGGGTGAGGTGCGCCAGGGTGTCTCGGGCGCTGCTCCTTCGGCCTCGGTCCCGTTGGCAAGAAGCTTAGTAAGGAATGTGAGCAGGCCGAGGGACAGCACCGGCGGAGAAATTACATGCCTTGGCAAACTGTACATGTCACAAGTCCAATGCCGGAAACCTCTTTTTGGACGGGCACGCCCGTTTGTACCGTGACGCGAGGAGGGCTTGCTCAGGCACAAGCTTAGCACTTCTGCAATCCGTTGAACTAGTGGACTCCGCAGCGGACGCTTCCTGCTTAGCCTCTTTGAGCCTCCTACTTTTTTTGTTTGTTCTGAACTTGATTTTGATGGGCTTGGCCGGCACAAACTGTACAAAACGGGTGTAGGATACTGGCTTCGACAATGTTTGTGACACACTAAGAAGACAGCAGCCTGCACAGATAGCAGAACTGTCCAAGGGCCCACAGCGCCTTATTGAAGATTCTGAGGCAGCATGGCAAGAGCGAACGAGGAAGTCGCCGAAACGATCGCTAAACAACTTTACTGTGCTGTGCGTTCGCAGGCAACCTGGATACTGCTTGGAAGTTGAAGGCCTAGGTTTCCTTGCGGCAACTTTGTGCGCAAGGTGCTGGCGTAGGGGTTCTTGCTGCAGCCAGCAAATCAAAGTAAAGGACCGGGTCAAGGCTACAGCTTGGTTGCAAGTTTCGACGCCAAACTTGTGAAACATCAACAAAAAAGAGTCTGCGAACTCCTGCTTAGTACTTGCCCGGTCGCTTGCCTGTTTATCCACCCAGGAAGCACCGCAATATTTCAGTGTAGAATGTTCAAGCCAAGTTGTTGTCGCGACCAAGGAGTTGCACCATCCTGCCCAAGCGATTCATGGTGCTCGGGTGCTTACCAGGCACAGCCCTCGCAGTGCTGTAGATGCAGAGTGGCTTTCTGCTACTGTCAAGTTTTCACTGTACAGGTGCATGCATGTTTACCAGGAGGCATTCCTTTAGAACCATGCTGAAATCGCTGGGGTGTGCCCCCCCTTACAGATTACGGCATGTTGTCATCTGTGGGGCCGACTTCAGTGACGGTCCTCGGTTAACCTCGTTTCCTATCGGGTTCGTTTGAGACGAGGGGGTTGCGGCATTCAGTTTCGTGGTATCTTTCGGATGCCATTCCGAGAAGTCTTTGACCTCGAGAGGTCTCTCTAGCCGTTTTCGGAAGTGAGTTGTCTTGCTTTTTCACTGCTGTTACTTTTTCCACGAAAGTGGTGTATTCGAGTGGGACACACTTTCCAAGCCAAGCAGCCAGAATCTCTTCTGTTCGCTCTGAGGTGCAAGCTTGATTTGTACACTTGGTGGAGTAGTGGCCCTATGCCATCGTGCGTTCGTGGACGAGCGCGACGTGGAAGTGTTAAAGCGCAGCATCGTGAGAAACATGATGGCGATCATAGGCAAAAAGAACGGTGGTGGGTTGCGAGTGCCGGGAAACATGCAGTTCACTTCACGCGCGCGTTGTCCCTTCTCAGAAGCTCAGCTCCGGAGAGGATGTCGCTAGCGGTTCGGTGCTCCTGGTCTGCGACGAGGCGCTGCGATCTGCCTCGCTTGTGTAGTGTGGCGTGTGGCGATGGGAGGAGCTCGGGGATTCGCTCTTCGACCGCTGTGTGGCGCTGCCCGTGCCGGGAAGCACCCGCGAGGCCGAGGCCCTGAGGATCCTGAGGCCCGGAGCCACCAAAACCCGTCCGCTCGCAGGCGCACGTGCGCTCCATCGCGCGCGCACGCGCGCGTCTTTTTTCCGCGGAGGTCCCTGATCCAGGCGACCGTGGACTTGGACTCCCTCGGCCTGGCGCCTCCTGGCTGCAGGTGCCCCCGGCGCCCTCCGCCTCCGCCCCGGCTTCCGTGGCCGAGGCACGGCCGCATTCGGGCGGAGAACACGTGGCTCCAGCACCTGCCCAATGGGGACTGCAAGGCGTTCGTCTTAGTTTTCCGTGTTGTAAAGGCAGCAAAAGGCGGAGTAAACGTGTCCCAGAGGACAGAAACCGTGCAGAAAGCTTGAGGTTTTGCTGTCTGACTTCGGCGAGTCGCGCAGCTTGGAGGACCAAGGCTCTGCATGGCTGGAGAAAAGAAAACCCTGAATCCAAAGCCCAAAACAAGCCCTAAAACTACGAGAAGGGGCAGCCCCCAGAAGCGCCCTCGAAGCCGAGCTTCCCAAATTCTTAAAGCCTTCTTGCAGGCAGCGATGCCATGTTCGTCGCTCCTGAGCTGGTCGAGGGCCAAAGCACGACACCCACCCACGCCGGGGTGGCTGGCCGGAGCTTTAAGAATTGGGTCTCATGATGACTGCTGGTAGATAGTGTTCTTCTTATATATCATTCCTTCTGCTGGGATGGCCGACTCTGACATTCTACGACTGTTAGTATTGCTATTGGTGCTCCTGAGTGTGAACACGGATAGAGTTTGACGGTGTCACGCTGGTGCTCCGGTGCTCCTTGTCACCATGGCACTTCTTACATGCGTACTTCTCGCTCTTGATTTTAGTTCTTCTGCTACTCGTCTCTTTTGTCGCTATTGTCGGCATATGTGTCAAGGTGATAGCGGCTTAGGTCTCTTGCCATGCTGCAGAGCCAGACCGTTTTTCCGGGTGGAACCTTTCCACATTCCTGCTGTTGATTACCAAGGATCTCTTCTCCTGTGGTGTTTTGGGCTACGCTTTGGCCATGGGCCGGTATCCGTGGCTTCTCGCCGCATCTCAGGGCTAGTGCTAAGACCGGACCATGCGAGTGCAGATGGGAGGGGTACGATTGCTCGGTGGCGCTCGTTCTCAGGTTCAGCACTCGGCGCAGGCCCCAGGTCTGCACAGCACGGCGAGGTGTACAGATGCGTGATGCATGCGTCTTCCACCTGTTGCTCATCAGTTTCCCGGCCCTCCGAACTAAAATGCCAGTGCAGCCGGGCTGCGAGAGCCACAACCTCAGACCACGGATGACCTCCCAGGCCGGGAAAGTGCAAGACCTTCTCCTTCGCCAAGAGCCACGGGCTGCAGCTTGGATCGGACGGAGGGACGCTTTTGACACAGCGGCTTCGGCTTCTGCCTTTGTGCCGGAGCCGAGGCAGAGCTTCCTTGGCGACCGCCGATGCCCCGCTTCCAAGGCCAGGGCCGCGGGTTTAGTTCACTTTCACGAACTTTGTTGCGGCTCTGCCCTGCTGTGGCCACCGAAAGGAGGGCCGAATGTCATCGGAGTACAAGGCACGGGCCGGGGGGAGGAAACGCGCGGTGCGCCGCGGTGCGCGGCGGTGTGCGGCGGTGTGCGGCGGTGTGCTGTGAGTCGGCGGAGTCCATGGTGCTGAGGAGATCTTGGGCTGCCTTCTCGAGTTGGATCCCGGTGCCTCGACTGAACAGGGATACAGTGGCTCTTTGGAGAAAAGAACTCCCAGGCATCAGAGAGCAGAAGGCCCTGTCCATGCGGGCGACTTTGCCGCAGCTCGGCGAAGACAAGATGCTTTCTGTTGGTGTTTTTTGCGGGAGGGCCAGCATTGTGATGTGCGATCTTGGCTACTTGGTTCTCCAACTGGCAATTTCCCTGTTTTCATCTGGCTGGAGTTTCTACACGGCCAGCACCCTAAACGAGGAAGTGCCACCAGAAGGGTAGATGTTCAGCTGGGTATGGTCAAACTGCAGCCGTTTAGCCTGGTCGTTCCGCCAAGGGGTTTCTGAAAGTCCGAGCAAGTTACTCGTACAATAAGCTTGCACGAGAGGCGCGCCTCTTTTTTCGAGACAGATGCTTCGCCTGGCCAAGGCAACCCGTGCATCCGCCCCACTCGGAGCCGGGCAGAGCCCATCACATCTAGACGTGCGAGGCCTCATGCTGCTTTCACCGAACGCTTAAGCTGTGAAGGCGCAACACATCTTGTCTCGACTTGGCACATTTAATCTGCACGCTGCTGAGCTCCTGCTGTCAGGTTGCACGCCTCTGTAAAAAAAACTCTCATCACCTGAGTGCTGAGCGTGCGGCTCAACCTTGGGTGGTGTCTAAGCACTTGAACGTCAGCCAGTTCCGAAGGCCGCAGAGCAGCTGAGACAAGGCCAATAGGATTAGGCCTCACGGTTATGGGCCTTATGGGTCGTTTTGGTATAATGTCGTATATCACTCAGTCCAAGACTCCTGGACAATCAGACTCGTTTCGGAGTTCAGAGCGATAGCGATCAAGTTGAAATGACGTCGCGTAGCGAATGGTCTTTCTCTCGCCTCTGACGCCTTCCGGGCTCGGATGTTTCGCAAAGGGGTCCGATTTCTTTGGAAATCTCGACACCCGCATGTCACGGGAAGACTTGCCGGGAAGTTACACCTCTGCGAAAAGGCTCAAGTCACCATGTAGAAGTGTTGTAGAAAGTGTGGAAGGAACAGGCACCAATACTGGCAAACTCCTGTGAAGTTTCGGCTTGCAAATGGGAAGGCCAGTATCGCACGGCCCCCCCCTGTCATTCTGACGTAGATGGGCAGTCCGGGATTCCATAGCTACGGCCTTCACCAGTACAAGCCTCTGCCATGCTGCAAGCCGGGCCGGTCGCGAACGTCCGCTCGCGCTGGCTCGTAGGGCCTTTTATGCGGCTTCCGAACATGGAGGAACCTTGAAGGCAACATCTGGAACGACCTGCCTAAGCACGACAGGTTTTCAAGTAGGGCAGGCGAAGCACCAAGGAGGGGAGCGGGAAGCCAATTGAGATCAGCTGGTCACAAGTGCCTCTGTGGAAGTCCGGCATTCCCTAGGTGAATTGTGGGCACCTGTCGCAGATCGCTGCAACGGGCGTTGGGCCATTGAGTCCAGCATGTAACGACTGTCTTCCCCAAAAGCCCAGAAAGGGTACTAGTAGGAATCTGTAACTCAACCATCTCTGTCTCATCACAGATCGCTACTGTCGCTCGTGGCATCTTCCAAGGCCACCGGCTACGCGGGCTCTCATAGCCTTTAGCAGTATCTGCACTTAAACTGGTGCTCTGCAACTGGTTTCCCGTGAGAGGTGGTGGGTACTTCACTGTGAGAAGCGTGCGATATTGGGTTTTCGCTGCAGGCATTGCGCCCAGTGAGACTCCTCTTGCATTTGCTACCCGTGCCATCATCTCTCACGCCGATGCACACAGTGCAGCCACTGGGCAAAGCATCGCTGGTGGCCTCAGTTTCCTCGATGCTGTGAGATGGAAGTGAGCGTGTGTAGAGGGCTTGACAGTTCTCGTGCCATGTCGTGGAGATGTTCTAGCACAGTCGCCGAGCTCCACTGCACTATGGGACTAGCCATCCCCACCGCATAGACCATTGTCGGTCTGCTATTGTAAGGTGTGGCTCGTGACGTCTAGCGCATCATTGCAAGCCGCGGTTTCAGTTTCAACAAGAGGCCGGCCAGCCAAATCCTCGCGCTGCCCCGGGAGCCATCACCACAACCGCATCCTCATCGTATTGTGCATGTACAAGGACATATACATGTAAGACTGACACAGTTCCCTATCTCTCTCTCTCTCTCTATGTATTATAGAGTATGTTGGCGTGTGCTTTGGTCGAGTTATTCTCTAGACCAATTTTGCCTGATGTGGTGGCTGCTGGGTACAGGGAGTGTTCGCTCACAGCGCACCCGGCTGTGCCTCCTCTGCGCGGGCTTGCACCACTATGCCACTTTGAAGCTTCCAGCTTACTTCAGCTTCCTGTGCACCTTGCACTTGACGTCGTGCTGGCGTCAGTTTCGCGCGCGGCTCAGGACAGTTGGGGAGGGGCCATTGCAGTTGAGTCCTGTTCACAGCGAGCAAGGGATTGTAGGCGAGTGTCAAGTTCAGCCTCGCCCACCGAGGGGACAGACCGGAAGAAGCGCTGAATTCCACAGAAGTGGGAAGGGATGGGGGTCGGCCTCGAGTCTCAACCTGCATCTACGGGGTAGGGCTTCTACTCTTCACTGGAGGCTCCCTCGGCCCTTCCCACTGCACTTGAGAGCGTCAAGCTCACAGTGCACTGCCGTACTTTCGGAATCCCGGGTCCCAAGCAGATGCAATCGCAGATGCGATCGTACGACAAGAGAGGTATTTGGGTTCAGAAGCAAGCACGAATAAGCAAGAACTGGGACATTGTACACCGGAGATTGCTGGAGTGAGGGTTTGGTGTCTGTGGGGCACTATGGGTTTCAAGCATGAAGGGGCTGTCGGTCAGAAAACATAGTGTAATTTTTCGACAGCTTTTGACACGTGCCAAAGGCTTGCAGTGGCACGGACGCGAAAAATCATATATCCGTGCATGCGATGGGGGTTGGGCTCTGCAGCAGTTCAACAGAAGCAAGTTGGCGTAACATCCAAGAGAAAGCCTTACAAAAAACTCTTTCTGCCAACGTCTCCCCCGCACAACTTCCCCACCTACATCCACCACGACCAGTTCTCTAGGGTGGCGAGTTTAGCATCCCACCTTCGCACGAGGTACCACGAGCACATTTTTTGATCAAACCCTAGGCAGAGGCAGTAAGCGATCTTTGAAAGATTCTTGAGTGGTTTTCGCAAGACCTGGGCCTGTCAAGCATTTGCTCACTCCGGCAAGCAACCTTTTTTCACTTGGACTGGCAAGCAAGGGTGCCGAAGTGATAGCGGTCATATAGAAGTTGATAGTGGCTGCACCACCCAAACGTGAAACTTCGTGCATCCTGCGTTCTGCGCATGTCCCGTCCAAGGCCTCTGTCCTTGTCACATGTTCGCGCCTGTGGTGTCAACACAGCTCATGGGCTTTGGGCAGCCCGCTTCGACTGCACTTCACCGGTTTTTGTCTTGGGTTATTGAGAGAAGCAGATTCTCTTGAGAAGCAGGTGGCCCCTGCCCGTAGTATTTTAGATCAGCGCCCGTGCACGGCTTCGGAGATTGGGAATCCTACGGCGGCTGCATCTTCAATGTTCGTGATGTACCGTAGATCACTGAAGTTTCAGTCTTAGACCTTCTGTCGACGAGTACAGAGGCCGATGCCTAATTATGAGTTCAGGGTTCTGCAGGCAGGGACAGGAAGGGGGCACGAAATGCGTCATTGTGCTTGTTGACCTGGGGTCGAGGTTGGCAGCCTTTCCAGAATACAGACAGCTGGAATGTTGAATGGAAGACTTCCAGTGAGTCATGCAGTGACATGTACGATGACGACATGGACACCAGAGGAGTGGACAGTAGAGTGCAGGAATGCTGCTTCTAGCGGTATGAGAGTAGTAAACCCCGCACGTTTAGCCACGTTGGGTGCAGCTCTTCGGAGGGCTTCCTCTCAGCAAGCGTCAAGCCCAGGCAGGCCGGCTCTTTGCACATCTGAAAGCTCTCAGCCTGACTTCTGTGAGCTTTGTCACTCGTGCCGGTTTGCCTGGAGCTTTGAGGGAGGCTCCGGGACATCCGAGCTTACTCGAAGTTGGTGGCTGCGAACATGGTCCAAGCTGGCCCGCAATCTGTGTGGTTGCTTGTCTGGATCATGTGCACTGCTGAGCTGTCCCTATGTTGGAGGGGTAGTCATTGTCGTGCCCAGACAGTTGTCATGAGGGAGGGAGAGAGGGGGAGAGAGAGAGAGAGATAGCAAGGAAGGAAGGAAGAGAGAGAGATAGCGGGGGCAAGGGGAGCTTCCTCTTGCCCATAGCCCTGACGAAAGAAAGAGAGCGAGAGAGTAATCAGCAAGATTTGTGCCCCTTTGCAGTTCCCAACACAAACGAGGGTGTACAATCCGTGCAAGTTCCTTGAACATCTTTGTGCAGTAGGTGTGAACTCTTTAAAAGCAGGTGACACCCTGCCCACTCGGGTAAACTTCTCTACAATGCGGCCGGAACCTGGCCGCTAATCCTGGACTCTTTTCAACGCACCGTCAATGATCACCTTTCCGTTAACCTGAAAGTCGAATTCGGGGGGACCTAGAAGCCATAAGTCGCGATCGATCCGATCGTTCACACTCTACAGCGCTCGCTCGAAGTAGCGCGGGAGGCACGCCTTTCCTCGAAACCCCCACCTTCTCACTTTACTCAAGCTCCAAGTGACCACCCAAGAGGAGCCAACGGGGGAAATGAGGAGCGACGGCCGAAATGAGGAGCGGTAGTGCCCCAAACAACCACAAGCTCGCCGCAAAAATCGGGGGACCGTGTGCCTAAAATACTGTGTTGTCCCAGGTGTCCGTGAGGGGATACTGTGATTCTGCTTCATACTTCATGGTTGCTTGTACCGATACCCTCACTACAGCAGCGGCTTCACCCCTGGAACACCCTTGTTCCTGAAACTATATGAGTGTACTTTTACTGCCTTCATGCTCGCGTGGCGGCTATGACAACCTTTTCGGGGGCTTTGAGAGCTCCTTGGGGATAATCAAGGAGGATCGTGACTCACAACTGTGCCTGTTAGTACATCGACCAAGGCCTTGCTTGCTAGCTTGCTGTTGTGCTGCTGATGTGTGAGTCGATCCCACGGGGCCATGTATAGCCGAGCCGGGTGGGGGCGAACC